TTCTCTCTAAGATGGCAAAATATCTTTCTCTTAAAATTAATCAACAAACAATTTTGTTCTTTTTTAGAAGAACTACGTGATCCTGATTTCATCATTGTACTTTGGTGGTACGTACGCACGGGGCTCTCGAAGTCTTGCCGAATCAAAAACCTTTAAAAACATTTATTTTCTCACCTCCACAAACTTTTGCATACAACTATTTTCATTTAAAATATATAGATTTTCAAAAAGGTTTGTGCGGAATACAGTAGATGTTTAGGATGCTAACACCTTCCTTTGCATAACTAACCCCCTTACCTAGATCTCAGTTTTATTAGTTTTGCTTTAAAAAAAATTTTGGGCTTTATTTGCTCTTTTCTTATTCCTTTGGAAACAATAAAGTGTGGTGGCGACTTTCACTTTGTGAGTTAAGTTAATCAATAGCTTAATCTCAACTTTTCACCGCTACAAACATCATCTCACCTTTGTCGTCTAACTTTTTCAAAGCTGACCCGGAATGTGTCGAAATGTTACCGAACCGAAAACTCTCAAATGACTTAAGCTTGGATTAAATCTAGACCATACCTTTTCTGGAGTCACTTTACTAAGCTTCTTTGTAGGTCACCTATTCAACAAATAGGCGGCTGTAGAAACAACTTCTCCCCATAGCTCCTTCGACAAGTCTTTTTCCTTCAACATGCTACGAACCATGTTCGTTATCAAATTATTTTTCCTCTCGACAACACCATTCTACTGATGCGTATAGGATGGAACATCCTCACACATTATACCCTCCCCATCACAATAATTTCCAAACTCATTCGAGGTATACTCACCTCCACCATCCATTTTGAGAATTTTGAGTTTATGACCACTTTGCCGCTCAACCATGGACTTAAACTTCTTAAAAACATCAAATACCCCATTCTTTCTCTTGATAAGGTATGTCAATATTTTCCTACTAAAATCATCGATAAATCTGATAAAGTACCTATTGACACCATACAAGTCAACTTGCATTAGACTACACACGTCCGAGTACACTACCTCAAGGTGATGTTTAGTCATATGACTTGTATCTTTTCTAAAACTAGTCTTGTGTTGCTTCCCTTGAACACACTCTTCACATATCTCAACTGGAACATTGATTCTTGACAACCCGATTATCATACAATTCCTTTATAACGCGTCGAGGTCTCAAAAATTGAGATATCCAAGATGGTAGTTCCACAACCACTCATCACGACTTGCCGTTGTAGCAAGACACATGTGCTCCATCACTTTCAATTCTATCTTGAAAGTCCTACTCGCAGCCATGGGTGCTTTAAAGATTAAAACCCTGTTTCGGTCCAAAACGCGCAAAATCTTGTTTTCCATGTGAATCATGTAATTCTTCTCAAGTAATTGGCCAATGGTTAAGATATTACATTTGATTCCTGAAATGTATAGCACAACTTTGATCAAGGAATGACCCCTATCCCTTCTCATGATCAAAACATCATCAATCCCGTCAGGCTCTAAAGTGGTGTCATCCGTGAATTTCACCTTATTCTTCGTGGCTTGATTGATTTTGATAAGCCAATCCTTTCTACCCGTCATATGTGTTGAACAACAAGAATCCAAGTACCACTAATCACTGGCTTGGACTCCTTCTCGAACCTTTACCATTATGTTTTGCTCGTAATGCGTTTCTGCAGCATTTTTTGAATTGTTGCCAATGTTGTCCAGCAAGTTGCAGTTGTTACTGCTGCTGTTGAGCAGTTTGTTACTGCCATAATTCTCCTTTGTGATCATGACCAGAAGTGTGTTATCATTATCTACCTCATGTCGAGCAACCTTAGCCTCATCTATTTAATTTTCCCTTGATTTTGTGTTATAATCTCTTGTGAAATGATCAAGTCTATGGCAATTGTAACACTTCATATTACTCTTGTCAATCTTCTTAGTGTAGTTGTCTTAACCACTATCTTTGGAGCTTCTCTCACCTCTTTGCCTCCATCGAACCCTTTTAATTTTGTGAATCTTTTCCACCAAAATTCTGAAAAATTGCCTTTTCTTTCGAAGTCCATTTCCCCTTCGACCTTTTACCCTTCTCATTGAACCCTGCTTGAAACGCAATCTCCGCTTTAGCTTTGTCATTTCTCCTTTCATCCATCCTTTACTCATGAGCGTCAAAAGAGCTTTGAAGCTCATCCTTGCTCAATGTCGGGAGATTCTTTGATTCTTCGATTGCAACCACAAAATTGTCGAATCTTGACGTTAAAGAACACAAGATCTTTGATACAACATTCTGCTCTGAAATAGTTTCTCCGCAAGATTTCATTTGATTCACCAAACGCGTAATGCGTGTTACATAGTCGTTGATTGACTCTTTCTCTTTCATTTGAACCAATTCAAACGGTCGCTTGTGAGTTTGTAACCTCACCACCTTTACTTTATTATCTCCTTCATAAGCTTTCTTTAAGATCTCCCATGCTTGCTTTGCCGAATCGTAATTGCCAACTTTTTCGAAATTGTCATTGTCGACACAAGAATGAATCAAGAAGATTATTTTATAGTCTTTCTTCCTCTTCCTTGAATGTAGCCTTCTGAGCATTTGTAGCTTCTTCCCCAAGTGGTGTAACTCCATTGTTGACCACTTCAAGAACGTCTTGATACCCAAACAAAACTTTCATTTGTTTGCACCATTTATCATAGTTCTTCGAATCAAGGGTTAAAAGATTAGTAGGGACTCGATCATTGGAAACAGTAGTCATCTTTGCAGCGGATTAATGGATCAGAATCAAGATTCTTGATGCCAAATATTGGAACATACACAAAATAAGTTGGTGAGTCAATGGAGAAAAGTGGTTAATTGGAGAAGATGAAATGAGAAAATTAGAGAGTAATTGAAGTTTGAGGAAAAATATATCAAATGACATTACTAAGCACATTACACTAGAGGATCCTTATATACAAGATATTACAAACATGTTGGGACACAAAACAACTCAAAAATAAGCCAAAAAACCCAAAATACGGGTCCGTAATCAATTAGACTAAACACCGTAATCGATTACGGTTGTGAGAACTGGAAAAGCAGAAACAAACATTGCCTTTGTAATCAATTACATATATTGGCGTAATCAATTACGTCCACGAAACAGTAACTTTGCATTTTCAAAAGCGCTTATTTTTTAAGCTGTGTTCACCAAATATTCCTAAAAAACTTATACAATACATTTGAATTAATTAGTAGTTCATGTATGAAACTAATATATAATTCCATGCATATGCATTAATACCATAAGTGAGCTACTATGCATGGAATTCTAGAAGTACAAGAGTCGTGACATTCTATCAACTTAATTCTCATGAATGCAGTAATACAATGAAGTTCAAAATCACAACTATATCACTCATTGACGACGAACAAATGTAGTTACAATAGTAGGGTCTATTGAGATATTAAGAAATGTTTCACCTGTTAGGTATGTGTTTCAAAAACTTTATTAATACTTCTCCGGCATGATATATAAATAAAAAAGACAAATTTCCCATTTACTAAAAAAAACAATCAACAGTATTTAATTTTTTTAATTTTATGTAAGAAAGATAACATAATTAATAATATATTCTTAATTAAATTTTTATCTATTAATAATATTCAATAATTAATGTAAGAATAATTTGGAATAAAAATATTAAATATACTTAAATTGGTTGACATTTCTTTATATTTAGGATAAAAAAATTTAAAAGACTTTTGTTTATGAACAAAGTCGAAGGAGTATATATTTAATATTTCTATCAACTTCTTTAATCTTGATGATTTAGTATATGATCGTATATTTAAAGATTGGAGTAACATATTAAAAAGTGTTGCAAAAATGTCTAAATGTGAGTAGTGTGATTGTCACCAAACTCGGTCAATTCCTTTACAAATTGGTGATATTGGTTCTAATTTAATAACAGCGTTCTCACTAGTTTAAACAATTTATAAAAGCATTCCCATGGTTTCATATGGAGGCTTTTGTTGACTAGTAGAAAATTAAAACTTTCTAGGCTTTACCGAGTCAATATCTGTGTGATAGAGGATAAATTAAGCACTCTCTCACACTCACAAACTAGAAAACTATATAGTATCCAGGTGGTAAAACAGTCCGGCCCGGATTTTTTCATACGATAGCTAAGTTTTAGACTCGCAACATCAAATATTTTTATACCGTTTTATTCTATTTTTTTCAAAGTTTTGTAAACACATACATTTACATAAAATTTAACATCTCACCTTTAGGGACAAATTAAAATTTTAGGTACAGACCATCAATTAAATCCGCCAAACTCTATTCCATTTTTTTTGTTGGTTTCTGCAAGGCGGGCTCCCTAATATATTCATCAACCGTTCATAAACAGAAAAAGTACTATGCACGTGTTCAAGCCAGAATATACCATATTTGAAGATTATGTGTTGCACCAACATTATATTTATTGTTTTCCATTAACTATCCAACGTAATAATTTTGAAGCTATAAATTGGCAAAATGGAGAAACTTACGATGACATGTAATTTACATAAAAAAATGCTGCAATACTTTTGTGCTAAAAAAAAGCTTATTATTTATTACTTTAAGATCATTCTACAAAAAAATTGCTTTGTACATCTTATTATTTCCTGAGCAATAGGTAACCAAATTTCACCAAATATATACAGATTGAAATTTAGGTACTCTTAATTTCAGGGCATGCACCTTCTGCTAACTGTACTGCACAAGGTTAAGAATGAAATGAAGGAATCCCACACTCAATTTTCGTATCACCGGATCTGAAAATCGAAGACATGTCCGGTGTCTAACATGCGTCAATGTCAGACATAGCACAACATTGACACATGCAATTATATTCAATTTAATTACTTTCTTTTATTCACTTTATTACCAACGCGTAAGTCTGTGTCAATGTGTCAATGTCATGTATGATGTTTGTTTTTGTATTGGTGTTTAATAGCTTCAAGTTAAGTTGGCTTCTTTTGTATTGAGAGTTCAAATATATTTCTGTAATTTGATGATCATAACACTTGTATCATCGATAGAGCCTCGTGACGCTGATAATTCGACAAGTTTCTTACAAGCTTGAAGGGGTCCTTGTTTATTGTTCCCTGCACAGAAAGGACGAGCCATATCTACTGCTTCCTGATTACTAACCTGAACAACATTGAAAAAAGTAACTTAATTAGTCAATAGTACTATAATTCAACAATTATTTCATTAAAGAATTCCATTATCGTTGCCATTAATTCATTAAGTTTTACTATACCTTGTCCCATAATCCATCTGAAGCTAGGATTAACAAGTCATGATGAGGTTCAATTCTGAGAACTTTGGTCTCAGGTTCTGCTATAACCCATTGTTTCATGTGTCTATCTCCAATGCTCCTGGAAACAGCAAGAGATCCTTGTATTCTCCACACGCCCCGGCACATATCAACATAGCCACCCTACAAAACAAATCATAATTTATTAACAACATTCAAGAGATCCTAAACTACAAATTGTTTCCATTGCCAAAGACCTAAAAGAGAAAATTTGCCATCATCATCATCATCATCACAAGGCTAATTACCTGAGTCTCAATCCTTTCCTTTTCATCTTTTCTTGAAGGTTTGTGATCAGATGTTAAGGCCTCAGCAACACCTCCCTGACTGATAACAGCACGACAATCGCCCGCGTTGGACACGATAAGATTACCGTTCCTTATCAATGCTGTTACACAGCAAGAACCACCGTGAAGATCCTCTTTTAAGAAATCTGAATCAGCTTTGAGATAGCCATGTTTCACAGCACCTTCAATATCACTCTCACCTCTTCTCATTATTTCTTCTAACACATTCTTCTCCATGTTATCTGCTGCGAATTCCGAAGCTTTTGCACCTCCATGCCCATCAAATATGCCAAAAAAAGCCTGTTTTGTTTCTTCATGAAGGTCATCAGAAGAAGCAGAATAACGATCCTCCATACGTTTCCTACTTCCTCTCTTACAATACACGGAAAATCCATTTCCCTCCACCTCAACGGCATCCTTTTCTGGTGCCGGAGTCTTTACAGTCGGTGGGACTTCAATAGTTTGAGAAGCAACAGGTATATGAAGCTTAGCCGGCCTCTTTCTCTTCAAAACAGGAGAGGAGAGAGAGAAATGGCAAGGAGAGGGGAGAGAGAAGACATTAGAATTTGAAACCACAACGGAGCAAGACATGGTTGTTTGTTTCTTCTTTTGTTGTTTGGAATTTGAAAGTGTTGTGTTTTTTTTGTTCGAATGGGAAATGAGAATAGGAGAGAGAGAAAGGATGTATTTAAAGAAAAGAATGTGTGCTGTGACGGTGGGTCAATAAAATTGAGCAGAGAAGAGAAGGTTTGATTAGTCAAACGTTAATGTTTAGTAAGACATTCTTTGACACCAGATAATTTTTTGGCTGTTATTTTTGGATGGATTAAGGTAAACTAACCACATAGGATCCGATGTTCGCGCCGGTTTTTACTTTCTAGAATTTGAATCACACACACAAGCTGGACTAGACTCATTCGTTGTTTTAGGAAAACTAGTTGCATACTAGTAGTTGCATACTAGTAGTTGCATAGGATTTTCTATTTTTATCAAAGCGATGGATGTGTAACTTTCAAAAGTTGGAATGTCTGTCATTTATAATATTCTCATTTAATATTTATTTTAAAAGATTGTATTCAATTCATTATAATTTTTAGATAAATAATTTTTTGTTTTAATATGAAACTTGGATTCACAATCGGTGAGGGAAGATCGTTAGACGATAATTTGATGATGGTGTTGATCGAAATCTCGTTACGAACTCTGATATGATTAATGTATTGATGCTTTGGTCTGGTTTCGGAAGTGGTATCTGAAAACACTCTGACGTTCAAGTTATTAGCTATTAGAGATAAGCAGTAGTTTTAAGTTTAAAGAATGTGTACATGAATCTGAAGCCTTCTATTTACTATAGTGTATAGAGGATTCAATAGTCATTGTTATCTAACGGTCTACCAAAATCTTAGCAGGTCTCCATCATGTATTTCTTTAGATGTGTCTATCTCCTAGGCCACCTAACTTATTAGAACTAGGGAGACCCGATTCTCAGCATAGTGAAACATAGTCCAAACATATTTACCTGTAGGGCATCCTACCTCTTAGGCTGCATGCCTTTTGGGTCGGATACAACTTTGGACCGAGTACACTTTTGGATAGGTACACTTCTGGGTCGAGTGCACTTATTAGTTCACTCATGTTTACCTTTAAGGCCTCCTCTCTTTTAGGTTGCCTACGTATGGGCAAGGACATTTTTGGCCCGAGAAACATTTTGATCAGGTATATTTATTAGACTTCATACCTTGTGGGATGCCTGCCTTTCGGGTTGTGATATTTATAGGCCGTCAGCCTTCAAGGTTAGAACACTTCTAGACTAGGACATTTTCGAATTAGGTACCCTTCTTAGGATACCTACCTTCTAGGCTACCTATCTTTTGAGCAGGGACATTTATGAGTCTTTTTCCTTTTAGGACGTTTGTCTTGTGGGCTGAGACAAATAATGTTATCCTTAAAGTTGTAGTATTGGGTTTGGATCACTTGAATATCTTGTTGGACCTTATAACATAGACATTCTTTAGACCATTTTATTCAGATAAGAGCATTTTTTAAATTAAATATAATGTTTTTATTTTTTAATTGGTTAATATCTACTCTTAAAACACAAGTTAGCATGCATTATTATTCACTATAAAAAGGTTTTTTAATAAAATGAATAGGGTCGTGCTCTTTCTATTAACTATATTATCTAAAATTATTTCTCATTTAAGTTCTCTCGTACTCTCTGAGTTGTTAGTGCTACAAGTAAAAAATTATAAGTATTTAATACAATAATCTCAAAACCATGTGAGAAGATCTTAAGAATATTAGGATTTCACCTATTAACTCTTGTGATCCTACATATTCAATCAAGAAACAACGAGATAAAGAATTAATAATGTTTTATGTTCATGCAAAAAAACATCATCGGGTTAATCCTCTTAAAGTTGGTCATGTGGGATCATAAAAGGATAAGGAATATTGTGTCTGATGGATTTTTGGGAGGGATGAATGACCACCATTGCTGGTGGTCCAAGATTTTCACGTGAACCCTTCTTTTTATGTTATTCATTGGTTCCCATTCTTATGGCTCTCAAGGTTTTCTATGTATACCTCAGTGTATTCCAAACAACTACGAGTCCCCTATTACCTTCATTTTTGTGTTCCATTTATACTCTTAACCATCCCTCAAAGGAATTAAATCTCCATTATTGAGCACTGCCCCTTCCTCTTGCAACGTCTCTAACTTCCATTAACCATATAACGTTCATTTTTCATACTTATTGCTATAATGCCTCCTTAATCAATCACTATAACATTTCTGACATCATTTAACAATTAATGATATGACGTATGCCACCTCTCCAAAAATGGAAGATTGTAACGGCTAAATAATTTTCGTCATAATGTACGCCTGTTCAAAAGATCTTCCAAGGATCGAATAACCCGGATCGGGGATGTGTAAGACATCACCATCCCAGGCATGATAGGAAATCTTGGGCAATAATACCAAGAACCGAGATATGACCCAGATATCAATAGCATCTTGACCTCGAGTTCTCTACATCTATTATTCCAAAGTCTTGACTTTACTGTTTATCCATATCGAGCACTATTCGACCACAAGGGTAAAAATTTGGGATGTACATAAGCCCCTAAAGAATGAGGCATGTAAAGGTGAAGTGTTTTGAGTTTATCCCAGATCACATGAACTTAACATAAATGTATTTTAGGTTTATGCATTTTGATCGAGTAAGCTCTCATAAATTTATGGTCTTGATGAGGGATCAATTCCTGAGGGATACACCCTGGCGTATAATGGGAAGATTTACAACTTTAAAGAAGTCATAAAAAGAAATTTGATGAGGAAGCCATAGAAACCTAGTGGGTTTGTGATATAGACAAATCAAAGAACCTTGGTGCGGTTTCCACCTGTTAAAGTTATAGAACCCGATAGGTTCTAGACATAGAGAATTCAAAAAGACTTAGAAAGATCTTGACCTGTTGACGTTGTAGAAACTGGTAGGTTATAGACATAGAGAATTCAGAGAGCCACAACAAAGTTTCGACCCGTTGACATCATAGAACCCGATATGTTCTAGACTTAGAGGAGTCGGAGAGCTCTAGTGGGATCTCTACATGTTGACGTCGTAGAATCTAGTAGGTTCTAGACATAGAGAAATCAGAGAGCCCCGGTTGGATCTCGTCTTATTAATGTCGTCGAACTAGTAGGTTCTAGACATATAGAAGTCGGAGAGCCTCCAGTGGGATCTCAACATGTTGAAGTTTTGTTTTACTTACGCGAATGCTTAGCCTATTTTTATAATCATCTCGTTATATTCTTTTGGGAATATTTTTAGAGGTAGCCTTAGTGAGCTTCACATCGTTGATATAAAATTTAATCGTTCAACTTAAGGCGTAAGTAGGTCGGCAGGTCTCGAGTGGATCTTGGCGTGCCCAGAGGTATATTAACTTAGTTCTTTTTATTCGGTCAAATGTATATTAACATAATTGGGTCAGAGATATATTAACTTAGCTCTTTTTACTTATAAGTCAGAGGTGTATTAACCTAATCGAGCCAGGGGTATATTAACATAACACTTTTTACTTATCAATCAAAGTTATACTAACCTAATCAGGCCAGAGGTATATTAACATGACACTTTTTACTTATCGGTCAGAGGTATAATAACCTAACAGGACCAAAAGTATATTAATATAGAACTTTTTTACTTATTGATCGGAGGTATCTTAAAATAACACTTTTTACTTATCGATCAAAGGTATATTAACCTAACTGGGCCAGAGGTATATTAACATAATACTTTTTACTTATCCGTCAAAGGTATATTAACCTAATCAAACTAGAGGCATATTAACATAACACTATTTACTTATCGGTCAGAGGTATATTAACCTAACCGAGCCAGAGGTATATTAACATAACATTTTTTATCTATCGGTCAGAGGTATATTAACCTAACCATAGTTCCACTAGTAGAGGTCTTGGGTTTGGTTACCCTCTGTAGAGGTTAATATCTCATATATGTGCTTTTTATCTGATTATAGGACCTATGAACCTGCACAATTTCGAAGATAGTTCCTGCATGATTCGATTGTAGCTTGGATTTTCCCCTTTTTGTTGTAGCGTTCGTTTCTTGCCTATCTATATACTAGTCAGAAAAAAAAGGGGTGCCTCCTTCCCATGCAGGGGAAAGGAGCGATGCCCATTATACAATATGAATTTTTTTAAAGGAGTTACAAACGATCGACATATTAGCTTGCCTTATCCTCATAATAAATTAAAACATAAATTTTCATATTTTAACCTATTGGTTTATCGTATACATGTTTGCAAGTTCAATGGCTCGATGTAGATATAATAATGCTATTATCAATTCCTCGCCACTTTTTAAACCAAACTTCATATGTATGTCACTATTTCATATTTGGAGCATATTCTGGTTGGGGCGTCCTGCTGCGACTCCACCTAATAACTGAATCTGACTTATATTTAACAAAATCAAGATCGTTATCCAAGTATTATGCCAATAATTTTTGAAGATCGATTCAGGGCTAACGAGTTAATGAATATGTGATTACACGAGCTACTTGTTAAAATTTACCTTACCATTAGAAAGAGAACGACACAGGTGCAAACACTCAATGCAATCGAAACCAAATCATGATAACAATTGGAAAAATAAAGAGCAAGGATCGAAAACATGTGATTTCGAATCGATATAGTGTCTCTTCTAATACTTGAAGATAACTATTTGCCAATTTGAATTCAATATTAACGATTTATAACCCTTTTTTAATCTTCAATTATGTTTGAATCCTTTAGAAATCAGAGAGCTAGGTCGCAAGCCTAAACTCACAATGGTCGTAATTGTATTCATACCTATAATGCTTCCATCTTGCTAAGCCTTTATCTTAGTGTCTCTGACTTGGATTACAATGTGAACATTCGGTGTAGAGGTCAGATGAGTCAATTACTGGATGGGTACATAATAGGCTAAATGAGGCTGCATACGTCATGGTCTTCGAGTAGTTTATACTCATTCTAGCATGGAAAAGAAAAACTATTGACATATAACTACCAGTATCTGGTATCA